AGAATAGCTAATATTAAAAATTTTAAAAAATCCTGGCAGTATCAACTTCTGGCAATAATGCAGAGCAAATGAAACTCTCATACATTCATTACTGGTGGAAATACAAAATGTGACAGCTGCTTTAGAAAACAGTTTTGCAGTTTCTAAAGTAGTTAAACATATACTTTATCATAAAACCAAGAAACTCCATTCCTAGTGTTTACCCAAGAGAACTGAAAACTTATGTATACACAAAGACCTGCTGTGGAATGTTTAAAAACTTTAATCATAATCGCCAAAAACTATAAATTTCCTGGTGAATGAATAATCAAATTAAAGAACATCCATACAACAGAATACCTCTCAGTTATATTAAGAAATAAACTACTGATACATGCAAGTACATGGGTGAATATTTTAAAAATATATATGATAAGTGAAAGAAACCAGACACAAAAGAAACTGTACTCTTTAAGATTCCATTTACATGACATTTGGGAAAACGAAAAACTAGAGGGACAAAAATCAGATCAGTGGTTGCTGGGAACTGGGACAGAGAGAAGGTAGTGGGGGCAGAAGGGAACATTTTGGAGTTACAAAAATATTCTATAGCGTGATTGTGTTGGTAGTTATATGACAGTATATGTTTGTCAAAGCTCATTAAACCATACAATTAAAAGAGTAAATTTAATACTATGTAAAGTGTAACTCTTTAAGCCCAAGTCTTTAAAAGGCATCTAATCAGAATATGACCTATATAAAACATTTGTATTTTACTGTGAGAGTCATGGGGATACGTGGGATTTGGATTTGTACTTTGGATCAATGATTATCAGAGAAGGTTATTTTTTTCCACAAGGTAAGTATAAAACTATCCTCTGGAGTGCGGAAATAATATATTAAAACTTCAAATTATTTTTATCTCCTCTATTAATTTTTATAGCTTGTACTTCTGAATTTGCTTTAAAGCATGGGAGAGAATCTAAGACACTTGATTTTGGACATAGTTTTAAAACTCTTTCTATAAATATATATCTTCGCTAAATACTTCTTTCATTGAGAGTCAGTTAACACAGGACATGTCTCAAGAAACCAGATAACATCAGCATTCTACAGGGCATGAAATTTATACCTATTGGCAGAGGCTTTAACCACATTGAAGTTCTCATATGCCACCCAACCACATGAATGGAAAGGGAGGAAAGAGGGAGAAAAAAAGTGAGGAAGAAAGGATTAGAAGCCAAAATGCTACAATCTGGAGATTGTGATCCAGTTAAAAATATATCCCCAGTGAAAAGCAGAAGCTGCATAACATTGAGTGAGGGGTGGGTGGGTTATAGCATAAACACATGTTGATATTTTTAGTTCACGTTGTCTATATAAAGAGTGGAAATATTCCAGTTAGAACACTCCCAAATATTATGAGAGGGCAATGGGCATTGTTAAAGCAAGAAATCCTAGACATTTAATAGATATTAAAAATATTAAATGATCCCTAAGGCATAGGCATAGAAAAATAACTGAATCTGGCTGTAAACAAAGAGCTCAATCTTATTATTATTATTATTTTTGAGTTGGAGTCTCACTCTGTCGCCCAGACTGGAGTGCAGTGGCCGCTCCCGGCCACTGCAGCCTCAACCTGCTGGGCTCCGGTGATCCTTCCACCTCAGCCTTCTAAGTAGCCGGAATTACAGGCATGCACTACCACGCCCGGTTGATTTTTTGATTTATTGTAGAGATGAGATCTCGCTGTCCAGGCGGGTCTCGAACAAGGTAAGTATAAAACTATCCTCTGGAGTGCGGAAATAATATATTAAAACTTCAAATTATTTTTTATCTCCTCTATTAATTTTTATAGCTTGTACTTCTGAATTTGCTTTAAAGCATGGGAGAGCATCTAAGACACTTGATTTTGGACACAGTTTTAAAACTCTTTCTATAAATATATATCTTCGCTAAATACTTCTTTCATTGAGAGTCAGTTAACACAGGACATGTCTCAAGAAACCAGATGACATCAGTATTCTACAGGGCATGAAATTTATACCTGTTGGCAGAGGCTTTAACCACATTGAAGTTCTCATATGCCACCCAACCACATGAATGGGCTCAGGCAATCCACTCACCTCAGCCTCCTAAAGGCGCGGGATTACAGGCTGAGCCACCGAGCCCGGCTTCAATCTTATTATTAAGGTCCACTGGCCAAATGTCAGCCCACCTGAAGAGGAAAAACGTAAGAAAAGAACTTGCTAAGATTGACCAGGCTCGGTGGCTCTGCCTGTTATCTCAGCACTTTGGGAGGTCAAGACGAGTGGATTGCCTGAGCCCACGGGTTTGAGACCAGCCCAGGCAACTTGGCGAGACTTCATCTCTATAATAAATTAAAAATTAGCCAGGTGTGGTAGTGTGCGCCTGTAGTTCTGGCTGCTTGGAAGGCTGAGGCAGAAGGATTGCCGGAGCTCAGCAAGTCGATGCTGGGGTGGCCATGAACGTGCCACTGTACTCCAGCCTGGGCAACACAGTGAGACTCACTCCAGCCTGGGCAACACAGTGAGACTCAAACACACACACACACACACACACACACACACACACACACACACACACACAACCCCCCAAAAAAACACAAAAAACAAACAAACAAGCAAAACTTACTAAGGATCAGCATCCCAAGTACAGAAAAAGGTAAGCCAGATAATGAATCAATGCCAAGGTCAAAGGGACTCTATAATCTCTGGTCAAATATATATGCATAAAATAGAAGGAAAAAATTATCAACCGCTGACCTAGAGCTCACAAGGGGATAACACTATCATGTTTGGATTTTGTATTTCCCAGGCAATGCTAAAATCTACACATGCCAATGGATAAAACTACTAGGAGTCAAGACACAGAATGATGGAATGGGAAACTTTTTTTAAAAAATTGTTATTTCAAAGATGTGAGGTACAATTCAGTGTTAGGTATACAGATGGTCATTATAAGGTGAAGTTTGGGCCTCCCTTTGGCCCCTACTTTGCCTGGTTTGGGATCAGTTACTTTATTGATGAAGAGTACTCCCGCTTCCTCCCCTGACAGTTTCCCATCACTGCCAATCCATTTCTTATAGTATTACAATAATTGTTCAGGGTCTGCTTATGAGTGAGAACATGTGGTACTCAGTTCTTTGTTCCTATGATAGATCACTGAGCATTACAGACTCTAAACCCATCCAAGTTTCTGCAAAGTTCATAATTTTGCCCTTTTATGACCACATAATATTCCACCGTGTATATGTACCAGATTTTTAAATCCAGTCTACTTTTGATGGGCAGAATAGTTGGTTCCATGTTTTTGCTATTGTGAATAGTGCTGCAATAAACATGTGCATGCAGGTATCTTTTTTGTAGAATGATTTGAGTTCATGAGGACCTCATAACTCCATCATTACAGTGCACAAAGAAAGCTCTACTATGCTCTGAGTATTCAAGAAGAGAGACTAACCTGTAGTGTCCTTCCTCGCATTAACAAGCAAAGAGGAAGACCTATCTGGGGTGCCCTGGGGAAATCAAAAAAAAAAGTCCCTCTTACCCTGTCACTCTCTTAGACACCTGTAGAAAAAGATTTGGGCAAGACCAAAATTTTTCCTATTACCACTCTAAATAAAGGTACTTACCAGTTTTTTTTTAAATGGGAGGATATGAAAGATTGTTAAAAAATCCAGTTTCTAAACCTCAGAGTTTCTCAGGCAAGTATTATGGCAGGGTTGTTAGATATTCCAAGTTCTCAAGTAGACAGATACCCAGACATGAGTTTAGGACCAAGTTGTAACTTTACTAGCAAACTGGAGGAACAACTGGTATTACCAGATATTAAAATATATTACACAATTTAAATAATACTTTGAAGTTCAGTGACAGTTTAAGTGTATAACAAGAGGTAGATATAAACACAGGAAAGCAACGGAAAAGAAAAAATTTCAAAGCATAGAATATCTGAATATACACATGATTTATTGGTATATCTGGATATAGACTAGAAATCAATCAGTGAACACTCAATCATCTAAAATATCCTTAGTTCATTTGTTTGTGTTTGACTGTTTAAACCAGAAAGGCAGTGATTTTAGAGGACCCTATTACCTTAGGGCCACTAAAATCAATTTCTTCTTCTGTGGCTTATTTATCTCTCTCTGAAAACTCACAGGGAAGTTTGAATAAATAATTTCAAATGAACGTTACTACCTGATACTCATTTAAAGAAAAGACAAAAACAAAAAAAGAGAATAAACAAAAGAATTTCTTCTGTCATAGGCAAAGAAAGGTGGATAATGAAAATGGAGAAGACATACCAAAAAGATGAATAAATACTGGGCACCACACAGGGAAACACAGTACGGTTGGGAAAAGTATTTTAAAATTCAGGAAAAGAGAAGTAGTTTTACAATGCCCCAATCTGTGCCTTTAATGGAGTTATCACATATAAGGAATGAATGTGATGTGTGTGCTTATGGACGTGTGGTGGGAGATGGGCAAGGAAAGTTGGGGACACTATTCCTGTTACTGAATATTTTTGGACTTTGGTGCCTCTTAACATTTATTCTAGGGGAATTCTTTCGACTCTTCTAAGGTGCTATTGCTGCCCTATCTACCCAAGGCAATCAGACACAGATACCGGTGTCTGTACTTCTTGGATCAATCCAGACAGCAGCATAATGACCACATTAAGATGATGTGTTTAGGAATCACAGATATGGAATGGCTGTCATGGCTACCCATTGCACAGGACTGTTTTCAAGGATTTCTTGAGTCAGGCAGTTGGGTTGGACCGTAATATCTTCCATAAGTAGACATCATTATGACTGTTTGAATAATTTCTTTATAGGGGCTTAGCATATTTAATTCTTTCCCAGTATTAGAATTTGTGGTTTTTAATTTAAAATGTTATGGCTACTGAACCAGAAGCAAAATAAATTATATTCTGGATTCTCAACTTAGCATGTTTTTACCATGAAATGTTTTGTGAAATGAGATGAATCTTACCTGTCGTCATGCAGATTGTGGTGGGTATGACCCTGTGATACAGCTGTCTTGATTCTCACTCCAACAGCTTGTCCAGCAGGACCTTTATGTTGCTCGGCACTGCTGTGGCTGCACCGTCTTCCTGGGGCTCAACTGGCATCACATGTAGATTGCCCAAGTCACATGCTTCTCTGATATTAACCTATACTGTCCAAAATGAAGGCATGATATCAAACCAAGTAAATGGAAAAAATACAAAGAAATTTCCCTACCAGAACTCTAGCGGGTAGGTCATCCTGAAACATAGGAATGAGGAGAAATTTCATCCATGATGTAATGCCATGTTTATTTTCCTTCGTGTTCTTATGGAATACTCTTTGTGTCATTGGGTTTATGCTTAAATCTCATTCTTCAGGAAAATTTCTAAGAGGAGACAAGCTGACTTGTGTCTACTATGGGTCCGACTGTACGTAGCAGAACATTTTATAATTTGTTTGAGTCAACACATCCGTTTTGGGGTGGGGCTTTTTATTTGGATGGAATTTCAATCACACTCTATATGCTGTCTCATAGTATGCTAATGTAAAACATGTTTCATTGCTTCACTTCATAAAAATAGTTGTCTGGAGAAAATTTAGGATATCTGACAAGTGCCATCTTGTGACCAGAGTCAGAACTGTCACTCAATGTCCTTGTGGGAGAAGGGCCGGAACATGCCAGCCAACAGCTTTCTCAGGCTTCTAGAATACACCATGCTCAAATTTAGAGTTGTTATGCATTACACAAAAAATGGAATCTGAATGTCTTCACCTCCAACAGTCAGATTAAAAAAAATTGTGAGTTTACTGAAAAAAGTGAAGTTACAAAAAATATAAAACATAATTCATTACTTTAGACATTATTTCTCATATATTTTCCATGTTTTTCTTTACATAAATACACAAATCAATATAATTTCAAATCAACTTTTTATCCTGCTCAAGCTCATGGTTTAAACATTTCTCCATACTAATAAGTATTTTCAATGTGATTTTTAGTGAATCACTTCAAATGCAATTTCCCCCCAACTTTGGAACATTTTATCTCAATCTTTTTTCTTATGTTGTGAAGATATGACTAAATATGTATTAAGGATTCTTTTTAAATAGAGACGATAAAACTTTAGTTTGTCCTGTCTCTCGACACAAATAATTAGCAGCCTGTTTTATATACATATATTTTTTCTGATTTGATACACATATTGTATTAACATAATCTTTTACCTTTAAATGACATAATACGGTGCTGCCATTCTGCAATTTGCTTTTTCTTTACTATTTTCATCTTTTCAAATCACTAAAAGTTCATACTTTTGTTAGCTATATAACATTCTGTTGTATGGCTGCACCAGACTACATAACACTTTTTAAACTGCTTATAGAAATAAACCAAATCCTCTCTGTTTCTTATTCTTAAACTTAGATGACATTGAAAAATGGTTCTGGCTGAGCACAGCATACCCGTGGCCTGAAAGGAGGGGTTTCAGGGAAGACATATGTAGGGCTGTAGTTGACACAGCAACCCAAGACTACCTGCTTTTTCAGATCCAGGAAAAGTTCCACTATTGGCAAAAGACAAGAGAGGTCTGGAAATACGTCGTCGGTGTGTGTCTATGTGTGTTTATGTATTTGAAACAAAATGGGTATGCTGTTTTAGCTTCATTTTGCTCTTTTAACTATACAAATTCTCATGGAATAAAGCAATTCCAAAAATGCTGAAGTCAGTGAAAGATTTTAAAAACCTTAGTAACTGAACTCTCAGAGATGCTAACTGTTAACACACAGTGTCTGTGTCGTTCACTTTATATGTTTACATTTTTCTATCCATTATTTTTTGGGGTAGATAAGTGAACCAAAATATGATAAAATATGTATCAAAGATAGAATGCCATTTAAAAAATTAACAGGAACAGCATGTCACACTAAAGTCTTAATTTAGAAGCTGCAATCTGATCGCCCGTTCCCACCCTAAAGACTTTAAAAATATCGGGGCAACAAAAATTCCAGGGAATTAATTCCGTCCCAATAACAGCAATTCAAACAAAATCATATTCCATTCCCACCTCTCCCAGGCAACAATCTCTGTTTATTTTTTTTTTTCCCACTTTATCACCAAGGCCAGAAGAAATTACCAGAAAATAACTAGCTTTAAGACAGCCATTACCTTGAAGCTTCTCGTCAGCTGCAGCCTCCTGAAATGCAGCCCCTCCCCCAAGACTGGCTGGGCACAGCTCCTTTCCAAGCGGCTCTGAGGAGGCTCCGCCCTCTCCCCGTGATGGGCAAAGCTGGGGGCCTTTCCCTCAATTAGAGGGAAGAGAATCGCCAAGTTAAACTGAAACTTCCTTAAAGCGAGAAGATAGTCACTTTTAAAACACCTGAAAGAACAAGGGTGAATGATTTGCTGGGGGAGGGGAAGGTAGAAATGAGTGCGTTTATCATATAATAAAGACCCAGTGAAAAGTATCTTTTACATGTTCTTCATCTCTATTCCCTTTATTCTACAAATGATTTTAAGATCCAGCTGCTCAAGCTCTATTTAAAAGGAGTCCTAGGTCCTTGTTTGTGATTGCAAATAATGAATTAATACATTATTTTACAGATAATTAAATCCTTGCAATTATAATACTTCTGGCCCTGTGACATGTTACGTCTCTCCTTTTATTCAGGTCTTCTCATTCACCCTTCAGAAAGTGTCATAGCATTTTCAATTAAAGTCATTTCTAAACATAAAACATCAACCAAAATTATTAAAGAGATATATATTTGAATACACTGAAACTGAAAACAAACAATACTATCCATGGTAAAAACACATGAACTAAATTTGAAAACAGAAGAACAAACCTGACGAAACTGTTTTCACTACAAAAATACTTCTAATCTAAAGTATCTCTTACACATTAACGAGAAATAAATGAGAAAGATAAAAAAGGACAGAAGACATAAATAGACACTTCAAAATGTTCAGAGGAAATAATTTTTCCCCACTCCTGATATTTATTTCGTTGAGAGCAAGCTTATACAGTACAACTACAAGAATTTCTGTCCTCTTCTATACAGTTGCAAACCTCTAGGCTGTTTGGAAAGATTTGCTTAAATGTGAAGTTCTGTGGTCCATTTAATACTCACAGTAATCAATGCACTGCAACTTACCTTCCCCCTTGTAGTAAAGGTGACATTTTGGCTTTCATCTGCAACTCAATTTGTTTTGTATCAACTTATTAAATTTGTTCAGTGGAGAAAGGGATGTGCTATTTACTGGGGTCCCTCAAAAACTGAAACATTTAAAATAAAGGTAAAACCGACCGTAACATAAAAAATACATTTTTCTACCTAATTTGACTGACAAAAAAAAGCAAAGAAATAATACAACAAATGGTCATAAAGGGATCAATAAAATGGACACTCTCATTCACGTTCAAGGTCACAAAGCTGGGAAGAGGGCAAGACAAGATCAGAGACAAAGTCTACCTGACTCCAAAACAGGAGGTACACTGTCTCTCCACAGTACTCACAGGCTTGGAATCCTGTCTCTGGTAGAACCAGGGATGATGTCACTTACTTTCAGATTGTGTAGAAATTGGTGAACATAACCCCAGAGTGTGCGCTGCTTAGTCTCATGTCCCTGTTGGTGAACACATTGGTGAACTACAATCATTTTCTGTAACTACCATACTTATCCTTGACCTCTTTCCATCTCTTATATACATCTACGTTCCCACAATTAAAAAAATATTTTGTGCACTATACTTTTACACAAACCATATTTATATGATAGCATCCACTTGACCTTAGAGCAGTTATGAAAAATCTTCTGTGTGTGTGTGTGCTGTAGAATCTTGCCAATAACTTCCCTTTCAGATATGGCTATTCCAGGACAAAGGTTAAAAATCATTTGTTATACAGAATCGTGCTATTTTCACTCCACTCTTACTAATAATAGGCAATTCCCTTTTCCTATGTTTTGTTGTTTGCAACTGCCAATTCAACATGAGAAAGTCATATTTTAATTCTCTTTTACTGAGATTCTTTATTCATAAAATTCTCAAGGTATTAAGATTTACATTTTTATTTTCTTTAACATTGAGGTGTTATTTCTCAGAAAGCATTAAAACCTACTAATTAGGTCTCTTGAGATAATGTTATGCTAAATTTAAAAATAAAAATTATGAAATTAAGTAAAGTTGGTGAGGCTCTCACAACCCTGTCCATTATCAAAGTGAACAGGCAAACACATCTACCATATTCGAAATAGATCTGTACTATGACACAGCTCTTGCTGTAATGATCAAATAGAGAGAAAGAAAACTGTCTGAGTAGGAGACTCTAAAGAAATAAGAAGCCTATCATTCTTCCATAGACCCATAACTGAAGGGTCAGGTTAGGTCAGAATTATTCTGGTAATCACTGAAAGGGGCATCAAAGGTTCTTTGGAGAGAGATGAATTTCTGTTGCCAAGAGCCAATGTTTAGCCTTTAAGAGTTTGCCATTGGAGGCATTTGGCAGAGTTATATTTCTGAAGTTTTCTAACAGACAGCCAGGAAGTTAGGCAGTTGTGGGTTGGAAACCTTTATTGGCTCAGTGGAGAGAAAGCCTTCAAATCTTTGACAACTTTATTTCCTTGATGTTGTCATCTCTACATCCTAGGAGCATAGTTAATACAAATGTGCATCCTTAATATTAACCTAGGTTGTTCAAATATAACATATTAATCTATATTTGATGATACAATAATAAAAAATTTTAGCTGCCTTTAGTAGTCTAAAAAAGCAGGTTTTTGTTTTTTTTTAATGAAGTCTCATTCTATTGACCGAGGGCTTATAAATGATTTTTCACCTGCTGTAACCTCTTTTTACCCGCTTGAAATTTCATAAAGTAGTTTCAATTGAGTGTTTTCAATAGGAGATAACTGAGTTTTATTAAAACATGGCAAAAAGAAAAGGGATCAGATAAGAAGGTTACTTTTTAAAGTAGAAATAATGTGAACAGGCCGGGCTCGGTTGCTCAGCCTATAATCCCAGCACTTTGGTAGGCCGAGATGAGTGGATTGCCTGAGCGTTGCTCGAGACCAACCTGGGCAACTTGGCAAGACCTCGTTTCTACAATAAAAAAAAAAAAAATAGTTGGGTATGGTAGCATGCACCTGTAGTTACAGCTACTTGGAAGGCTGAGGCAGAAGGATCGCCGGGGCCCAGCAGGTTGAGGCTGCGGTGGCCAGGAGCATGCCAGTCTGGGCGACAGACAAAGTGAGACTCCAACTTAAAAAAAAAAAAAAAAGAAAAGAAAAGAAATAATGTGAACAATGAGAACGGAGATAAGATACAAGTCAGATGAATAAATCGTATCAGAGGGGGTTAGAGACATGACAAATTTGGGAGCAGGGGAACAAAAACAGACACATATTGTAACCCAAACCCAATACTCCATCTCTATTTTTTCTGTTGTTTAATACAAAGGGAATGTGTGTGGGAGGGGCTTTGATGGTATCAGGAACACTATATGTGCTCCTGGATAATTCAGGCTTTTTGGACCCCTCCGGGTTATCATAAATAGATGTTGGGTATTAATGTTTTCTAAGCTGCCACTGTTGCCTTGTCTGTCCAAGGCAACCAAAGGAAAGTTTATGGACACAGTATGGCTCAGCACAGTATGGCTCAGTGAAAGCACAACCTTTGGAGTCAGAGATTTGTGATGGTTGCTGAGAAAGAATTACATTTGTTAAACCACTCTGAAATATTATTCAAGAGAGTACAGTCATGCATTGCATAACGACATTTTGGTGAACGATGAACTGCATATACAACAGTGGTGTCTTAGGATTACGATGCTGATGAAAAATTCCTATTACCTAGTGACCACTGTAGCTGTTGTAACACTGAAGCACAACACATTACTCTTGTGTTTGTGGTGACAGTGGTGTAAACAAACCTACTGCTGTACTATTCATATAAAAGTGTATCTAACAGGTACAATTATGTACAGAACATAATACTTGATAATAATAATAAATGACTAAATTACTGGTTCATGTATTCATTATACATAGTAATCTTTTTTTTTTTTTTTTTTTTTTGAGTTGGAGTCTCACTCGGTCACCCAGACTGGAGTGCAGTGGCCGCTCCTGGCCACCGCAGCCTCGCCTGCTGGGCTCCAGTGATCCTTCCGTCTCAGCCTTCCGAGTAGCCAGAATTACAGGCGTGTGCTACCACACCCGGCTGATTTTTTGATTTATTGTAGAGATGAGGTCTCGCTGCCCAGGTGGGTCTCGAACCCGCGGGCTCAGGCACTCCACTCACCTCAGCCTCCCAAAGGCACGGGATTACAGGCTGAGCCACCAAGCCTGGCTACACAGTAATCTTTATCATGATTTTAGAGTGTACTTCTATTACTTATTATAAAAAGTTAACTATAAAACAGCCTCGGGCAGGTCCTTCAGGAGGTATTCCAGAAGAAGACATTGTTATCATAGAAGACAGTTCCTTGCATGTTACTGCCCCTGAAGACCTTACGGTAGGACAAGATGTGGAGGTAGAGGAAAGTGATATTGATGGTCCTGACTCTGTGAAGGCCTAGGCTTATCTGTGTGGCTGTTAGTTTTTAACACAAAAGTTTCAAAAGTCAAAAAATAAAATTTCAAAAAGCAGAAAAAAACTTACAAAACAAGGATATCAAGAAATAATATTTTTGTACAGCTATACAATGTGTTTTTGTTTTCAGCAAAGTGTTACTACAAAAGAGTCAAAAGTCAAGGTTTAAAAATTTAGAATTTGTAAAGTAAAATGTTACAGTAAGCTGAGGTTAATTTATGATTGAAGAAAGTAATTTTTTATAAATTTAGTGTAGCCTAAATGTACAGTATTTATAAAGTCTACAGTGGTGTACAGTAATGTCCTAGGTCTTCACATTCACTTATCATTCACTCACTGGCTCACCCTGAGCAACTTCCAGTCCTGCCAGCTCCATTCATGATAAGTTCCCTATGCAGGTGTACTATTTTTGTCTCTTATACTGTATTTTTACTGTCCTTTTCTGTTTAGATTCACAAATACTTATCATAGTGTTACAAGTGCCCCCAATATTCTGTACAGTAACATGCTATACAATTTTGTAGCCTAGGAGCAATAGCCTGTATCATATAGCCTAGCTGTGTAGCAAGCTACACCATCTAGGTTTATGTAAGTACACT